GCCCCACAGCTCAGCCTCTGAGCCTGGCCCCCAGGGCTGACCCACGGCCCCCAGCCCCACAGCTCAGTCTCCGAGCCTGACCCCCAGCCCCAGGCTGACCCACAGCGTCCATGTGCGTGCCAGTGTCTGAGTCGCTCGGGTTCCCAAGCAGAGCCCAGCGGGGCGGGGGCCGGGGGCTCCATCCCTCCAGCCCCCCCCCCGGCTACGTCCGCCCGGCGCGGCTCAGCAGGGTGCAGACGCAGGCCGTGTCGATGCGGATCCAGCGCCAGCCCACCAGCTTGTCGGCGTCGGCGGTCAGGGCCCGCACGTACGACTGCTTGGCCTTGCACTCGGAGAGCCAGTGGCGCCGGTCCACACCCCGGCACCCGCCCGCCGTCCCGCCCGCCGGGTTGCACTTGGTCTCGAAGAAATACTGCTTGAGCGGCCCGGTGAGCGTCTGCACCTCGGACAGCACCGACACCGCCTTGCCCCGGATGTCCACGGCCGTGCGCTTGTCCGTCACCCACAGGCTGACGCTGTCGCACACGGACATCTCGCCCCGGCGGGCCGCCTCCGGCCCCCCGGCCCGCCGCGCCCGTCGCGTCCCGTTGGCCGGCCCCGCCTGCACGCCCGGCTCCTCCTCCAGGAGCAGCAGCAGGGGGGGCCCGGCGGGGGCTCGGCTGGCCAGGGCCACGCGGGGGGACGACAGCTCCCAGTCGCCCGGGGAGGAGGGCAGCGCGGCCCAGGGGACCCCGGCGTCCGGGACGGCGGGGGAGGGGAGGCGGAGCGGCACGGCATGGAGGGCGCAAAGGAACGAGGTGACCATAGCCTGGAGCCGAAAGAGCATCACCACGGGGACCTGGGGGGAGAACGGGGCGGGGGGGTTAGAGCTGGCAGGTCCTGCCCCCCCCCCATTAAATCCCCACAGCACAGAGACAGAGACCGATCCGCAGGTCGGGAGTGAGGGGCATGGGCAGGGCTGCGGGGGGCAGGGCCGGGCTAGCAGGGGCTGTGGGTTGGGAGTGA